TGAATCATCATTGATAAAAATTCTGTTACTGTTTTTGCGGTTATACTGTCACATCGATATCAATCTACTTCATGTGGTTGTTCGTTCGAGTTTTAAAAGTATAAATTCAGTGATTGATTGATTTTTTTAAAGTTTACTAGTTGTAGCTCTTTACAAAACTTTAGATAGATAATCCATTACATTAAATGTATTTGATGACGTTCCTATCATATTCTACATGTGTTTATGAAGTTATTTATTTATTGGAACACACAAATATTGGTACAAAGGGACAAAAAATACCTATGCGCCACACAGTAACAACGTGGCCAGCAGTAGTCACTATCGATTTGTGTGAGGGCTGTGGTAGTGACCGGGTGCCCAAACTGAAGCAGGTGGTTTTCATAGGGGGCTGCACTCAGAGCCTATTACTTAAAGGTCTAATCCACAAGGCAGTGGAGTAACGTTAGAAGATGCAGTCCCATGGTAGCCGGTGACTAACAATAGGTTTATACGCCATTAGTTACCTAAGAATCCTGGAGTCCATGTGCACCATTTATTTGGAACCAGGGTTTTCCAACTCCCCTCCATGTCCACCAATCCGTTTAAAGCACCGGATATTCACTTTACGTACTCTCGATTTCTTAAGCAACAGCCCCACCGTGAGAAGGCAGTGAGTAGGACTTCCATGACAGTGGCTGTATACACGTAGCCATGTGAGTGCATTTGGAGAGGAATAGTCGACTCTCCCCAGAGATTTTACCGTGCATATTTCAATAAATTTATTTCCTAGTAAAGGTATACATTATATAATTTCAACCAAGGATTCAGAATCTTCAATATGGAATTAGTAAATTTACCAGTACTATAAAGATTTTGATGTTTGCTATTTGATAACGATAACATTTAAATTAGGGATTAGAAAAACTTGTTTTAATATGTGAAAAACATCTACATAGATTATTTCCATTCAATGTTTCTTTTTAAAAGTCGGTCAATCTAGAAGAAAGTCAAGGAAACCTTATTCAAGAAATCAAATAATGATATTAGAAAAAGAATATGCATTAATGCCATATGTTACTCGTCAAAGAAGGTGGGAAATTTCCAATAAATTACAATTAAGTGAAAGACAAGTGAGATTATGTTACAAAATTTATCAAATGTATACCATTCATATATTTACATTAATTATACATTTTTGTAGTTTTATAGAATGCATTGAATAAAGCTAGAAGCACTAGTCTGCCAGGAAGCACTAGACAGCTACTTAATCTTATTATGAGACTCTTCAGCAATCACTATTCAAGGATTGAACTCATGATCTTCAGCTCATGTAGTCTGTATAGTTCATAATTAATATCAACTAATAAACACAAGATATCATTTCTTTTGATATGTGAACAAGAAGTATTTATTACAGAACAATCTATAGTAAAATTATTTCCTTCATAGATAGTTTGTCAATTACTGACTTTTATGGTTAGTTTTATGAATGTCTTTTGTATGAAATCATCAAATTTACTTTGTTTCAATACGTATAAGAATCATTTGAGTCTTGATTTCAATATAAACTTTTATTTGAAATTAAATGACAATTGTGTATGATTTAAACACACATAACTAAGACAACGTATACAGCGATAAAAAGAAATATTGAGATTTGAGTAGTAATTAGGTTTTGAAAAAAATTATTTATTTAGGATTCCATATCGATAGTTAAATGACAACTGGTTTAAATCTTTTCTCATTCAAGATTTTCTAAATTAACGACATTCACTAGTAGTAAAATTGATCAAAACAAGGATACATCAGATTTATTACAACAACTGTTTTATTCATTTTTTAGTCAACAGCTATATACAACAGATTTATTTCATTTAATTTGAAATTTCAATGGATATTACACTGAATGCTTGTGATGTTGATTTCTCAGAAGATTTTAAAATTCGCACAACCTTCGACAGTTGAACTCTAAAAACAATAAGATGATGAAAATATAAAAAGCTTTAATTATGTTGTTATGTTTTTTTAAAACAACTGAAAGTTTCTAAAATAATTTTTACGATTAGTAATAAGTTCACCGATCAGATCATCCAAGAACAAACATGATTCAACATCTAAGGAACTTTCTAAAACATTAAAGGTTCGAACAGCATAGGGACTGTTATTCACTGTGAGCAATAAGTGAATTTATTAAAGCAAGGAGGTTGTAATTTATTGCTAAATGTACGCGTAAATACTACAAGTATCGAACATGATTTCGACACTTGTAGACAATTTATTTGGATGGTGAAAAAAGAATCCAATTGAATGACGACTGATCTACAAATGTTTACATTTCTTGTGGTTAACAGATGGGCTCTCACAATCTCAATCTGACACCATGACAGTCATCAAATACATATTAAATTAAACGTCACTACTTATACAACAGAAAATACTGTAAGTTTAAAAAAAGCAACTTGATTAGCTCAATTTCATTTAGATATTTTCGACTTCTTGAGAGAGCCTCAGACACAAATATTAAGTTCTCCTAATTAAAATCATCATTGTATGACAAGTTATCATAAACTGAAAACTACGGAGAAATTGCTTCAATGTAATTTATTCTGAATAATATATAAAAGTTTTGACACTGAGATTCCTCCACTGAAATATTATTCTTCCATCAGTATATGATTATGATGATTTATTCAAAATGTTTACATGGTTCCAAATAAAAGCAGACTATTTACTGATGCATAATCTAGTAGTTTTTGAAAATCAGAGAAATTCAACGACACTGAAGTTCACTTAGTAGTATATTTTTAATAAGTTTTAGTAGATGAGTTTGGCAGATTAGTTACTTCATAAGTTCCTTATAAGTTTGATTTTTAAGTCATTTGGTGATCTCATACTGATATTATAACACACGAAATTCATCTATATAAAGATCACACACTAAGTTACTTAACCATCGACGAGGATTCTATAAACATCTCCGTCCTAGACTCTCCATTCCAGTTGCTATTCATTCCTTTGATGTTTGCCTCGAATTCTCGGCACAATGTGTTCTTTAGTCAAACTCTAAAATTCATAGATGCAGAACTATATCATACAGTACATAATAGATTTAGATAGGTATATACTACATTCGGGGTAAATTGATACATATGAAACTACTTGTGAATCAAAAGCTTAATGAATTCAAACGGAATTACGTGTATACTCGATTACTAAACAATCTCCAGAATTGCACTCTTACCATGTCTTTTTTTAATAATAAAAGTTTCTGTAGCAATCTGGAAGACTTTCCTGGCCTTCCACATTGTATGAACATTCCATGTACCTAAATTAATGGTTGCTCTGATTGTTAGAAGGGGCATCAGCCTCGTGACTTCCGAAGGAACTCGATTTTCACCATCAGGTGTCATAACTCTTCTAAATGAAGACGTTCTAACTCCCAGGGCAGAGTTTAAGTGGTTCGAATTATTTTTTCTGGTTAGCGTTTTTTAGCGAGTTAGTTTCCTATGGAGTATGGTCGCTAACCCCAAGTCCAACCCTCCTCCTTAATCCGAACTTGGGACCGGCAGTAGCTCAAGACGGGCTCCAGGCAAATTTCTACCCATAAAGTACAATAATCACAATTTAAAGTTTGTTTAATGGTAATTTATGTGATTCATTTTTTCTTACATATAATCAAGGTAAAAGTATGGTTTCAAAATCGTAGAATGAAAACAAAAAAATCGAAAAATTTATCATATTCCAACGATGAAAAAACTTTACAACAAAATGATGACAATAGTAAAATTAATTTTAGTGAACTACAATATTCAACGTTATTTGATAAACAAAAATTTATCAAAACAACTAATCAATGGAATGATAATATTTCTACAAATTCTGTTTACATCATGTATCCTTGATTATGATTCTTTTGTTAATATTATTTAAAAATATAATTGAATTTAACAACAACAACAACGACGACAACAACAAAATCACCTTCAAAATTATTATTGTTCCTGATGGTGATTATGATAAACACACCAAGATCATCATGTTGATTAATGTTGAAATTAGTGACTATTAACAAACTAAAAAAAAATAGTCCAATAAACCACTGAACATTTAATTCAAAAAATTACTCAACTTTAAAACTTCAATTTAATTTTTTACATTCTTGTAATTATGTAATAAGTAACAAAATACTTTAGTCTCTTGATACAATACAACAATGAAAACACGAATAGATTATAAGATTTTACACCATTGTTCATTATTTGTTATGATAATAGTATTTTCAAAGAAAACATAACAAGAATGAAAATTTTCCATGGAAATTCAAAGTGGTATCATTAAAGTGAAGTCACTATGTCTGTTCAGCTATTGGAGTTAAAATTACTTGTCTATTGTAATGTAAAAGAAAATATCTGAGATCAATAGCAATTCATTACTGACCAATATTTCAGATGATGAATTCTCTAAATATATAATAATAATATTATTATTATGAACCAGTTGATAGTATTGCTTGTGTACTAAACAGTTCTGAATTTCTAAGTGAGAAACAATGTTGCTTTATACTTATTTTTTTGAATAATAAATATGATGTAAACATACTGAATAATGATGACAATGATCGTAATGTATAATTTGAATAAATTAGTTATTTGTATTACTCTCACTCTCCATCATCATTCTACTGATCTAAAAATAAACTTATAAGGATATTTACAAGAAAACACTCGGTTGAAACAATATCGTATGGTTATATATCGATATTAATGAAGAAATAAGAAAAAGAGGTATTCAATATGATAGAAAAAAGAACTCGATCATTTGGCTAAGACCCAATAGAAGTTAAAAGGTGACACTAAATTCAACGGAATAATATGTATTATTGATAAGTGGTTTACCAGAAATTAATTCCATCGATACTTGTGATGAAATAAAGTTCAAAATCTTGATTTCGATTGTGCCATTTCAAAATTTGTTAAATGTTTGTGGATAATATCGATTTGCAATTTTTTTAGGTGTCCTGAATACTTTAGAGACTCGAGAAAACTGCTTTGCCATTGAGTCTACTTGTTTGTTACACAATAACTCCAATCTTAACATTTGTTTGTCAGAGCACATCAAATCATTTGGCTTATCTAATACTATAACAAGTATGTCTTTGTTAATCTAGGCACTAAATTTGTACATGGTGAATAACAAGCCTTGTACAGTCCCCACCTGTTTAGATCAGATTATTTGTATTAAACAGATAGTTCATTTACTTTCTTTAATTTCACCGTTTATTGAAAGAATCAGTTATTACATATATGAATCCCATTGGTTTTATTTAAAGAATTTTCACAACACCAAACATTCCGCAATTAGGATTCCACTACCTAGTTCGTGATTGGCTAACGTATTAACGATAACATATTGAATATTAAGTTTTTAAAAATCTGAACGTTATTCTTAAGAAAGTATTTTGAGTATATCCTGTATACAATTTTTACCGTATATAACAATTAACTTAGAGCATAAATGAGTTATTCGACAGAAAGCGACGGATAAACGCCTTCACATTTGCAATAAAGTCAGATACACTGAACAATGGAAGAGATTTAATAACTCAAAATGCCTTGCTCAACCTTAATCACGAAGTTCGACAAAGCTATACAGCTCACTTCTGGTTTCATCATCTTTTCAAATCATGAAATATGTTCGTATTTTCAAGTGCCATCATAACTATTTATTGATAGTATTAATACATAAAAGTTGACTCATCTTGACCGGATTAATATCTAAACGATTCAAAAACTAGTGAAGTGCCAAATCATGAATACTGGGAAATTCAGTAATACCCTCACTATTATGTGAAAACAATTAATTAATCAATATGCAAACTAATCGGGTATTAAAATTTATGAACGTTAAGAAAAATAATTCATGATAATCCTATTTATCTTGAACCTACGATCAAAGTATGTAGACGTGAACAATTCCCATCGAAGGGTTCACTTTACTTAGTTGAAAAAAGCTTTCAATAATTATATATTCTGACCAATATCTGATAACGTCTTATGTACTATGTTGCACCATCTCCATGACTCCAAACAGAAGTCAGTCATGTATAACTTCCTTTTATACCACGACATGCGCTGACCACCTCCCCGCTTTCCCCAACTATTCCCGGCGTTGATAAGTAAGGTACGACGTGGAATTAGCTGAGACGACATTCATAGTACATAACCAACCGCCGAAGCCGGCATTTCGAAATGTTGACACCAATCGAATTATTGTCAGTGCTCGAACATACATTGCCAAACTTCTGCAAAACCTGGTGTTGCAACTGTCAGCGATCCTTCAAAGACAACGATAATCAAACACAGAGTCGCTCACCACTCTCAACTCGGAGATCAGGTTTCATAAGGTTAGAGAAAGACTGCTCTAACCGACGCATTGTAAATCTGACATTTTACAGCCAGGTAACATCATAAAGGCGTCAAGGATGAACCAGATTGGCATAGGTAGCTCTGGTTCTCGTTGTAAATTCACCTCTTCAACAACACCATCACCAGGACTTAAATACCTATCCAAATAAATGAACTCGACTAATCCTAACTGCTCACTAGCAAGAATGAATGCAAACACAACCTCCTACTAATCTTGTAAAAGTACTTTGGATGTAGGTGTAAAGCACACGCTATACCTTTGAACACTAGCTGCTAAATGAACAAGTGCGTATTGTATAGCTTGAATACGGTCTGGAGTGATTATTATGTAAACCTTAGACAGTTACTTATCTCAGATCAAGAAATCACAATAGGGTTTGATCCAATCTTTTACATAACCTTCAAGTGGAATTGGGCAAACACTTAGTCCACCCACTAAAACAAAACAGAAAGTCAATAAGTAATTACTGAATCATTCGATTACATTTACTAACAAAGTGCACAACACCCTATTTCATTATGTATATTTATTATTGATTAGTTCTTCAGAGAAAATTCGGCAAGTTATTTACACCTGACTACCAGTGTATGCCAGAAATATCTTGAAAACAGTATCATTAGATATCGATGCATTAAGATTTAATTGATTGTTGGTTTCATTATTCTGGTTTGCTTATAATCACATACAAAATTTAATAAAGCGTACGTTACACTAAATTTCCAACTTGCAACACCATTATCCGTTGAGACAACCAATGTATTGTACGTTATTTGAAAATAATAAACTTATAGATATAAGATAAATTTACTCAACACAATAATATGAAGTTGTAAAATAAGCTATGTACGTATGATTCCTCTATCAGATATAAACATTCTTTACATGATTTCAACGTTTTAAGGATAACGGTAGCAGTGCATAACGCAGTTGACCACATTTGGCTTGAAACCTTCGTGTTCACCAATTGCAGAGCAGAAAAAGACCTACTAGAGCGTTGTTTACTTTACGTTTTATAACCAACAATTATTTCTAACTACGCTTTACGGATCCGTTTGCACTATTTAAATGAACGAATTTTTCAACTTGTTCCAATACGTCCAAGAACACTGTATGAGTAAATTATATCAATCATGAAAAACTACTTTTTAAGGTGTAAAAAATTTGATTATAAATTAGTGTCAGTTTAAATTAGGATTATTATCATGAAAATTGCAACAACAAAAAATAAAAAATATTTCTTTAAACATTAGCCAAGGTAATCTAGTAAAGAGATGAATGATCTGATGCCATTGAAAAATTTCAATAATCTGTATTTAAGTTTCCATTCTTTTATCCACTGGATTATTTTCTGTTTTTCAATTTCTCTTGCTTTAACCACACTTTGAGGATCAGCCGAGTTAGGAGTTCTCAAATCTAAATGATGAGCAGCATCAGAGATATTAATGACTGTAGCAAATGGGACATAACTATTATTTGTAATTGATAATGCTGACCATGGATCAATTTCACCATTGCTAGAAATAAGATAAGAAGAAACATATCCATTAATTTAATAAAGAATTTAAATATTCTATCGTAAACAAATAGACTACTTAATTGAAGCGGAATACAAAAATATTGACATAGTTTTTAACATTAAGAAAATAGTACATTCAACTTCAAACTGAACGTAGAAAATGTACGTTATGAGGCGTAAAACTTATTAATGAAAAGCTATGATGATGAGGCGCATCAAACTGATATACGTACATTAGGCTTAAGACAATAAAGGAAGAAGTTTTGAATCAAGTGTCTAGACTAGTGAGATAGTCTTACAATGCAGAAATAAAGTTTTAAGGAGTACACAGAGCATTGACACAGTAATTTAGGCAATTCATCTTCAATAATCTAAACATGGAGTAATGTTTAAGTGACACTGTCATATATTCGCATGCAAAGTAGCCAGTTATTACTATCATGTATTGAAAAAAATAGACATACGAACCGCAACCTAGATAATGCAATTACCAAACACATTTTCAAATGATTGCTGACAATAAATAATGACTTACTATGTTGGAAATGTCTTTTTAAGGTAAACAAATACTTTGGCAGGTTGGAACGGTTAGATGACTAAAAGACAACTACTGACAAAAGATATTAAATAACATGTGAACAACATAAAAACATTTCTTCATGTGTTGAATTAAAGAAATCGTACATACCTGCATACGTATACATGGAAAGATCTATATATTTTTAACATATTTTTAAGCTAACAACACTGAATTGCTGACTGACCGTTTAAGAATTCCAATATTATTAGTCAACTGAGTCTGAACCAAGTAACGTGATTCAGTCAGTCAGTCAGCTACAACGTAGGACCAGGCACATATGTGCATCGGTCCAGGTTGCCATACCGCATCAGCACAAGATGAACACCGGATTCATAGCAGTGGTTATGTCAAAGGTGGTAATATATAAGAGAAAGTAACGTGATAGCAACAATTTAAATCTTACTTCAATATGACTTGATGTACAAATTTTAATAACAGGTCTATTGGTCTAGGTAAATTTCTAGATTAAATACTGAGATTACTAAATGTATGACCGGTAAGACTGGAGAAAGACATCAAAATGATAAGAAACACGTTTGTTGATGAGTGCTGATGTGAAGCAATCACGAAGCACAGGTTTATGGACTCGACTTTAGCTTATATATTTTGACGAGGGCTAGTGAAGTTAGTCTCTTGTTGAAATGGAAATACCTGGAATACGTTCCAAACTTTTAACCTGGTAGTTCAAATTTAGATGCTTTGTTTATCATAATTAAATTGCTGATCTAATCCTTACTGTTGTGAAAGTTCCTTCATTTCTTTTCCATGTAAGCGTCATGACTCCAGATAATTCAAATGTTATATCAAATGTTCACTTACAGACAGGTTTTACATGTAAAATTGTTACTAAAAGATTATTTCTGGTTCTATATAAAAAGTTACTCTTTAGAAAAAATAACAAAGACGTTTTGTTTTTTACCTGAAAATTATGTTGGTAACAGTATGTACTGATTTACTCCAAAATTCAACTTTTGGCCATTCGACGCGTGGACTTACACCAAATCGATTTTGACAAGAGATTGAGAAAGACTTAAGATCCCAATTTAATGGAGGCATGATGTTTACCGGCCCTGATGCACACATAGGTGTTGTCATCTCCATGCAAGTCTACAAGATAAGATAATAATGCCCATTATAATCTTAGATTTAAAAAATATTATTTCGACAAGAATAGCATTTACAGAAGATTGACCGTCAGCTATAAATAACGTTGAAAATAACACAGATGAGTAACAACCCACTTCACATTATTAAATCCAGAGAGGGGGTTAACAAGGTCAGAAGGGGAGAGAAAATAATATTATTCATTAAAACGGAAGCATGAAAAATATAGTTAAAAGTGAATTCAATTGAGGTATAGATGAGACTATATCACTAAGTCAGATCCTGTGCCATATGAACACTTACAACTTTTGTTCCAGTATTGGACATCCAGGTAGGCTGTGCGTAATTATATATGACACATGTTTCAACCAATTGAGTTGATGAAGGTTTATACGGTGAAGGTCATCAAAACAACATAAGCAGAATGTTTGGGGACAATCAAGTCAATCTTTCCATTGTGGTATCTAACATTTTTAATATCCAAACACTGCATACCCATTTAACATTGCTTTGTGCTTTCACTTCAAGTGAAAGTCTAGTATTAAAACCTCCTCCGTACTTTTTAAACATTACTTATATTTTTAGTATTAAATCATAAACTTTGAGAGAAGTGGAGAACACAACGCTTTTTACTATATCCTGACAAAGACGAAAAGAAAATTAGAAATGTGGAAGTTAAATAATTGAACTTAACCGAATTGCGTAATGTAATTTGTAGAATCTTTGGATAGACAAATGTTTTATGACAATGTTATGTAGCCCTTACTGTAAGCTTTCTTTTGATTTTTTCGATGTTAATTAGATTCATTGTGATACAAAAGTAACTTATTTAACTATTAATATGCGAAAAAGCTAAGTTGTATCTTTCTTACAATTTATTCTGTATATAGTGGAGTTGATTGATTAGATTAGAAAATTATAGGTATAATCAGACTAAAACATGGGATTAAATTAAATAACTAACTGTTGATATACGTACTATGAAATCCAAGTACTTTTGACAAGAAGGATTTAAACAATATAGATTGAAAAATTCTCATGCCATGACTATCTTGACTAACTTATTACAGTAAATCTTATCGCTTTATATTCACCTTTTGTTATTGTATTCGGTCGAAATAGTATAACTATTGCATTAATCGTGCATTCAAATATACTTTTTTTCCTAAATGAAATAATAAATCAAAGTTCAATGTAAGCAGAGTAATCACGTTTTTTAAATGAATCCTAATCTATAGATAACCATATTCAATGAACTATGATTTCAGATAGAATTCAAAGGTAACGACTATCAACATTTATTGTAAGATATAATTATTCTCGTGATTATATACTTATTTAATAATATTCAATATTTGATTTTAATCTGATAAGTTATCGAGTTTTACAAATTCTTGATAAGGTAATAAAGTTAAGATTGTTTTATTAGTTCAAATAAATTAAAATATGGAATAGATAAATTATGGTTAACAGGAGTGTGAACTCAGTATCCAATTAAAACTGATTTGACTTTAAAAGATTCTAACCAAAATAATATTGACCAACCAATTCTATATTATTAATGTTTCTATTAGTAATCAACATTCTGGTAATCATGAGATTTTTAAAAATGAACGAAATATTTTCTGTAGTCAATCTCTCTATATTTTAATGTCAAATAAGGCTTGGATACTGATTAACACTGAAGAAACATTTCATAGTTTTAAAAAAAGATAAATGTACTCCTTATGTGAGTTTTTCGATTATCACTGAGCTATTACTAATTGGAAAGTTAACATATGAGTAATCATTAAAAAGTAATTAGATAAGATGTAACACTCGCCCCCAAATGCCCTGGTACAGTCGAGAGTGGGGAGGGTTCGCTCTACCTCTCGAAATGCTCTCATACGGCCACGCGTATATAGCCTCTGCAAGGGAAGTCCTACTCACTGCCTTCTCGTGGCGGGGGTGTTGTCTACGAAAATGAGAGGACGAAAAGCGAATGTCCGGCGCTTTAACCGGATTCTAAACCAATGGTGCACATGGGTTCCAGTATCCTGAGGGAACAAATGGCGTATGAACCAATTGTTGGTCGCCGGCTTCCATGGGATTGCATCTCCTTACGGTGCTCCACTGCCTTGTGGGCTAGACCTTCATGTCGAAGGCTCGGGGAGTGGCCCCCTAAGAAAACCACCTGTTTTGGTTTGGGCACCCGAGCAGTATCTCAGCCCTCACACATGTCGAATGAGATCTGTGTGGCGCATATGTATTTGGTGCCTGATTATACCAATATCTGTGTTAAAATAAATAAATAAACACTCTCACACACGAAAATGAAGTATCCTGTATTAAAACAAAGTAAATATTAATGGGACTAACTTGTAGATCCCATCCAGTAGTGTCCAGACTTGGCGAACTCGTTGAAATGTCTAAACACGTTTGATTCCCAGTATAATTTGTCAGTGATAGTATAGCCTTGGCTAATAAAGATATTCTGGTTACCACAGGTTGTTGAGGGTCGTATGCAGATAAATTGGTACACAAATACTGGATTAATGAGGAAAACCCAAGTGAAAAATCTGTTACCAGTGGGAAATGTGGTCATTAAGAGTAGAAGATACGCGTTACTAGTATTTGACTACAGACGCCTTAGAAAGGTTCTAATAATGAAAAAAATCAAGTAATAGACTTCAACGTTATATTAGTAGGCCTATTATTTATGGATTCGCTCAAGTTCTAGTTTGTCGGTATCTATCAGAGGAGAATACGAAGAAACAACATTATTACTGAAATTCTAGTCAATTAAAAACGTTTTATAAGTAATTAGTGCTTTAGAAATAAACAGTATGACTGAAAACTCAAACAGCTATAGTGGATCATGTTTAACTACGCAGTAAGTATACCCGATTTTTTAAAATTTGTTATTCGAATAATAAAATTATTGTGAAGAATATATCTTATCCGTTAATAATCCTAAAACAAGATAGTACTTTACTTGATGTCAATTTATGCACACATGACCATGTAATATAAACTGCTCCAAAATACAGTGTGCCATCAGAGCTAAAACTTTAAAAACATGAGATATTGTCTTTTGAACTATTAGGATTTTTTCGTACGATAATTAACAGTAACGGGTTAGATTTTTACGAGGAAATAGATTCTATGTAGTTTTTTAAATTTTATTTCAGAATGACATACAAAAGCGGGTTAAACTTATATGCATCTTTTATGGCTTAAATTAGGTTATAACAAAGTGCATAACATAAAATTTTAATTACAACCGATTTTGTTGATCAAATCACTATTCAACTCTGAAGAAAGTCTCAGAGAGATGCTATAAGTGTATTTTGATTATATCTTGTACTGACTTTATTACGAAAATTTAATTCACCTTAGCCCCAAATTAACTATCGTAGTATATTTTATGATTTATAACACAAAAAGTTTGGTACATTACAAAAAGATGCTAAGAAACATACGATATGAAACAAAATGAAAATATCGTGAACAAATATGAAAGAGGAGATAACACAAATAATCGATATGGAAATAATAGAGTTCAACCAACAGTATAACCAGGATAAATCCCGTATAGTTTGAGTGTCGATAGACATGTATGACACACAATAAATATACCACAAACCTTGACTGGCCATTCAGGTAAAGCAAGCAGAAAGTTGGCTGGGTAAGGATAATTGACCATAGATATTGTTCCCAAAAAATCGGATAAGTAGTCTATAATATTCTGAACATCAGTTAAAGGCGTACAGATGTTAAACATGTGGGTTAATAATTCTTTCCCATCAACTAATAAAAACAAAATAATTGTGAACAGAGAAAAAGAGATTGTTATAGAAACATGTATTTTTAATAAAACTATTAGTCAAATAAAGATACAAAATGAGTTTAGTTAATCAACAGAATATCAAAGAGTTGAGACGAGTCCATAAAATCAGTGGCTACCTGTAATCAGTAGCTAAGTGGATAACGCAATGATTGAAGCGAGAGGTACTGGGTTTGAGTCACGCAATGAACATCAACTCTGGGATGTAGATATATCCAGCTGGCTAGTCCCGAACAGCACGAAATGTGCATCCCGGTTTTCATTGCTAGCCACTATCCATCTTAGCCTAAAATGTATCTAATATAGTTTAGCATCAAATATTAACCAGAATTTTTTTATACTCCAAATACATATGGCTAACTAGAAGTGGAATGATAACGCATAAGCGAACATAAGTATTGTGCTACAAAAAGGAAGCACATAAGTAGAAAACATTCACTGATTTAATTTAAAAACTGATTATTACTTACTTTTTCTTTTAATTTCGTTGGTACTAGTGTGGTGCGTGCTACTTATATTGATATAAGTAGTATATGACGCGAGTTAAAACGGAATGTCTGGCAGCAGAAGATGAGTAGAAGATAAAGAAAGGAAGAGCGAGAACACAATGGAATTTGTAAGAAAACGCGTGAACAATGGAATGGGAGACAATGGATTAGTGTTTGCAACAGGAACAGTCCAGTTTGATATGATGCATTGATATTTTGCAAATTGACGATTTAATATATGGTATTCAGACTTTATTGAGATAGTCTGTAATTGTTGTGCTAAATGCATCCGATTGTCCCCACCCGTATTCTTGTTCACTACACTAGTTACCCTAAGAATACTCGCAATAATATTGTCTTTTCAACTAGCCAGATGACGCTTTAAACGAACCCATTTACCAACAGTAGCGCGTTACTCAGTCTTAAGCTAAAAAGAGAGGGCATCAACAATGTCTAGAAACTTAAGTTCATTTACTATTGAAATACAACCAGACATGTGCAATGGAGAACCTAGCAAATATGTGTATCGGTTGAAGTTGTCACACCATATTTGTGCAACGAGATAAAATTATCAAGACAAATCTCATAGTAGTAAAAGTAGTAACAACACCAGTAGTAATAGAAAGAATTGGGTATAGAAAGAGAATAAAAGTACAGAGTGATTTCAAGACTCAGAATCTAAGATGAAATAAAAAGTGGGTGCATTTGGGCTATTGTGAACGATTCTGAGTCAAGTCACCCAACGTCTACAATAACTGATCGTGAATGCCGCGTGAATCCCAACCAGGTAGTCTGAACCTGTCCACATAGCTCAGACTAACAGTTAATAAATTCATGGACTAATACCATGTCTTGATGCGGCCACCCCTGTGACCTTCCCGTCTACTTCAACACCAAAAAGCATCCCATGTCGAGGCAGGGAATGGTTAAGCATAAGTGACAAATGTTCCAACTTCCTCAATCAATGAAAATTCACTACCTCATCAAAAGACTTGAATTCACCTGGTATCCCGTGTCTGACCCTATCACTTCTCACTCAATGGTCAAGAAATACATGAACAATGCTCTGAAGACACGTATGATTGAATACGAGTAACCCACTAATATCCTCTGTTCTTAATGGTCGTTTTACACATTGAACAGAACAGAGCGAGTTGCTGCTCAGCAAACTTGTCCTTTGGATGGTAGATGGATGAAGGATATTTTATTTATTCGGATAAATCCTGGTACAATAAGAGCCACAAAAGAATGTGCGAAGTAAATGAATCAATGAAATTGTGGAAAAATAGGAGACAATGGTAACAACCAGTGAAAATAAACAAAGTATTTAGTAGAAAATACAGTTCAGTTAAAGATACAACACAGAGACTTAAGGAGGATTATAGCAGTATTATTGTGTGGAACAGGAAAGTACAACAGGATAACCACTAGTTTCCATTCTAAGCGATATGTCATAACATCTCAATCCACCGCCCGATCGAAGCTGCTACCTTGACGCGGTGGTCGGGCTTGCCTATCGTGATGACCCAACCGAGCTATATTGGCTGGAACATATGTTCCTGTAGGTTCTACCATGCCAGGCAGGTCGATTGGTGAACGGTAAGACTAAAAGCAGCAACTCAAGGTCTGAGGGCGAAGTCGTACTGCTGACTGTAGAGAGGTGTGACAGCAGTAAGGTGTTTCCCTCGGACAACCAGCATGACAGCGATGCTGCCTTCCCACAAGGAGGGGTGGGGTTAGAAAAGGTCGACCCTAAAAATGTCACACCTCACCTTACCTCACGGATTTCCGTCTCCGGCGGTAAGGCCCTTTGAAGAACGGAGCTAACACGTCAAAAACCTTCCACAAAAAGGCCGTGCGCGACCGGCCTCAAGCAGTTGTCCCTTGGGCTCTGCGGTCACGCTCCCAGGTCGTCAAGACCAACACTAATCCAATTTCCTTTTCAGGTTCCTCAAGAAATACCCTTCCACGGTGTGGGCAGCCGGGAAGTGACATCAGCCCTCATACCCGTAACAGCACAAGAGACCAAGGTGGTCACATTCAAATCCTTCCTACACCTCCTAATACCTCTCTTATCTCCATGACTAACCCTCCTCACGTCTCTTTATCACCTCGCACCGCTAGGGCAAACGATTCGAGTACGTGGAACGCCATTCCTGGTCTCCTGAAACCACGCTCTAAACTACACGTAGGAGCTTTTAACGTACGAACACTTTGCCAAATAGGACAGCAGGCTTCCTTAGCTAAAACTTTAGAATCTCGCGCCATCGATGTGTGCTGCGTCTCCGAAACGCGCATACAGGATCCAAGTAGCGTCATTCATTTGACCTCACCATGCCAAAATAAAGAACCGACTCGATTTACGCTTCGTGTATCTGGAAGCCCTGATTCTGCTTCCCGTGGCCTCGCCGGCGTAGGTATAGCATTGAGTCCTAGGGCAGAACTAGCTCTCTTAGAGTGGATCCCAGTAGACAGTCGTTTGTGCGCTGTCCGACTGAACGGAACAGTAAGAATCCGGAAAGATAGGGACACTCGTCGTTGCCTCTTCGTCGTCTCTGCCTATTCTCCCACTGACTGCAGCTCAGATGATGTAAAAGATGAGTTTTACAGAAAGCTTTCGGACCTTCTCCGAAAAGCTAGCGCTCGGATGTAGTAATAGTGGCCGGTGACTTTAATGCTCAAGTAGGTAAACTAAGCGATAGGGAAAGACACCTAGGTGGATCTTATGGTGTCGTGGCTCAAAGAACAGATAATGGCGACCGTCTGTTGCAGCTATGCTCAGATAACCGCCTGTTCCTTGCAAATACTAACTTTAAGCATAAGGAAAAACATCTTTTAACATGGCGACCCCCTAATTCGTCCCAACGTTGGACCCAAATAGATCACATCGCTATCAGCCACCGATGGAGGGGCTCGATAGAAGACTGTCGCTCATTCTGGAGCACATGCCTAGATTCAGATCATGCTCTAGTGCGAGCGCGTATTTGCTTGCGTCTTACTGGACGTAGGAAAGACGCTGCAAGGAAACCTCTTAGGGCCTACTTAATGATAGTCAAGCTAAGAGTATATTTCAGGAACAACTAGGAAAACAGTTAGGCAGCCATGTATGTGATGCCCACCCCGATGCAGCATGGAATGATATCCGAAAAGCTGTGGAAACAGCAGTGATATCTGCTAGTAAGGTAAACCAGAAGGTTAGGGAGCAACACTGGATCTCAGCAGCATCTATCGCACTGATAGATGCTCGGAAACTCATTCCACCTGGCTCTGAACATAATGAAGAGCGGAGTCAGCTTAAGCGCAAGCTGACAAGAAGTCTACGCAATGATCGCGAACAGTGGTGGGTAGCGAAAGCAAGAGAGATGGAAAAGGCAGCGGCAATAGGTAATAGCAGACAATTGTTCAGACTCGTTAAGGAAACCGGAATTAGGAACCCGACCGTTAGCGAAACAATCTCAGAGAAAGATGGACATATTATTCATTCTCAATCCAGGAGATTGGATCGATGGGCAGAACACTTTAGGGATCAGTTCAACTGGCCTTCAGCCACACTTCGGTTTCCCACGATCTCCAGTCAACCTGAATGGCAAGTTAATGTAGGTCCTCCGTCCCTTTACGAAGTTGAAAAAGCCATAGGAAATCTGAAACGAGGGAGAGCAGCAGGCCCTGACAGGTTTACTCCTGAGATTTTTAAGGATGGTGGTCCAGTATTAGCAATGAGATTAACCGAGGTCTTAGGTAGAATTTGGGAACTGGACGTAATCCCATCTGACTGGTCTCAATCACTGATTGTGCCAGTCTATAAGAAAGGACAAAAGTCCTCTTGTGACAATCACAGAGGAATCAGTTTGACTAATATAGTGTCTAAAATATTAGCTTCAATAATACTTCGACGCCTAATCAAAGCTCGTGAAGAGCAGACTAGAGAAAACCAGGCCGGTTTTCGACCTGGACGTGGTTGTATAGATCAGATATTCACACTACGTCAGGTTCTAGAACACAGACACACATTCAGACGCCCCACAATGGTAGTATTTCTCGACCTTAAGGCGGCATTCGACTCTGTTGATCGTGAGGTTCTATGGCAGTGTTTGTCACTGAAAGGAGTACCAAAGAAGTACATTAACCTTATAAAGGCTCTCTACTCGAACACAACTGGTAGAGTGAGAGCTTATGGCGAACTGTCATCAGAATTGATTACCTCAAGTGGTGTTCGTCAGGGCTGTCCACTCTCCCCATTCTTGTTCAACTTTGTGGTCGACGTACTTTTAGAGATAACACTCTCCTCATCTAAATTTACAGGGGTTGAACTTCTACCGGGAGGTTCACTTGTTGACTTAGAATATGCTGATGACATAGTTTTATTTGGTGAAGACGCTGACAAAATGCAGAGTCTTCTGACCACTCTAAGCAACAATGCAAGCATGTTCGGGATGCGATTCTCCCCCTCGAAATGCAAAATGTTGCTTCAGGATTGGGTTACATCGACACCCGAACTAGTGATAGGGAGTGAAGTAGTTGAGTGTGTCGACCGCTTCACTTATCTTGGAAGTCTCATCAGCCCTTGTGGTTGGTGTGTGACGAAATCTCAGCACGGATACAGAAGGCTCGACTAGCTTTTGCCAACTTGCGTCATTTATGGCGTAGGCGAGATATCCGTCTATCAACCAAAGGACGTGTTTACTGCGCAGCAGTTCGTTCCGTCCTACTTTATGGCAGTGAAACATGGCCGGTAAGAGTAGAGGATATCCGTAGGTTACTAGTATTTGATCATAGGTGTCTTCGAAACATTGCTCGTATATCATGGGACCATCGAGTAAGTAACACAGTTGTTAGGAAACGGGTACTAGGTAAGGATGGCAAATCAATTGATGAAGTAGTGAAACTTCATCAGTTGAGATGGCTGGGACACGTGTTACGTATGCCCAACGACCGACTGCCTCGACGTGCTATGTTCAGTGGTATAGGAGTAGGTTGGAAGAAAGCTAGGGGCGGCCAAACCAAAACATGGCACAAGTCCATGAAGTCACTGACAAGTGACTGAGTCATGTTGGTAGGTGTAGACTACCTGGTTGGGGACCGCGAGATGATAGCAACCGATGGTTAGAGACCCTGAATGACATGGCTCAAAATCGTTTGCAATGGCGCAGGTGCATCCACTCTCTGTGTTCTCCCAAATTCTAATCTTCTGAATTCTTCATGTCCCTTTTTTCCTCTTTCCAAATTTATTTCACTGGATTATACTCTTTAAATAACATCTCCAAACCCTAATCTTCCCGATTACTGCTTATACTCTTATTACCTCTACCACTACGGGATTTGAATCGACAACTGCATCTCTGTGCTAATGTGGTGTGGCAACTCGAACTGATGTACGTACGTACGAAGTTCTACGTTGTTACTGACTGACTGACTCAATCCACCGAGTTGAAACATTTCAAGGACTCTAACCAGGGAATAGTACACCGAATAATATGAAACGGTCGAAAATGGATAGTCCTCTATTTGATTCTCAACACGTAATCAAATGGCCATGTTAATAGCCTCTTTCAGGGAATTTTTACTCATTAGCTTCACGTGGCGAATCTGTTTTTACGAAAAAGTGACAAAGAACAAACGTCCGTCTTTGAAACCAAGTCGGTGGATTCGGAGGGTCCACCTAAAGGATTTGGATAATCCCGACTCCAGACGAATAGTGTACATGGGCTCCAGAATCCTGAAGCGACGAGTGGCGCATGAACTTATTTTGGTCACTGGCTATCATGAAACAATATTTCTTGATAGTACTCAACTGGCTTGTAGATTGGACATTAAAACCAAATGGTTGAGAAGTAGCACCCTAACGAAACCACCTACTTCGGTTTGGATGCTCTGGACAGTGTACCAGTACACACACAAATATCTTGATGAATAATTATGAAGAAACTGTTCTGTTTGCTCTACTTAGTAACCTACGTGAACGGTACGAACAACATAATGAGTAGAAACAAAGTCCTAATGGCAACTATCCCGAAAAATTAATGAGTCTCAATTGTTTTGCAGTATGGGTCATGCAGTGATTAAAGAATAAATCTGTACCAAAATTTCACTTTCAGTTTTATTCGCGGCGCATGATCCCTAGGAAACCTGTTGTTTTCAACAATCGATGAGGTTAGAGATTCGTTTGTTATCACACACAAACATACTTTAATATCACAAAAGTATAAAGTAGTATTTGCCAGATAACATTTTCAGAGACTACTTCTGTAATAGCAGCTACTGTGATGAAAACACTTCAAACAGTGTTTTCGCATAACATGACCTGAAAATTGTGTAGCAAAAAACGGAAACGAACGATTTCCATTTAAAATATAACGTATCAACCGGGTGCATGTAACAGTAATGTATTTTTAGGATAAGGGATCAATAAACGTGTTTCAATCACTATATATATTACATATACATTAAATGTATATTTAATCATAGTAACTGAAAAATGTCCAGTAAACAAAGATCATATAAATAAAGATAAATATTAAATGGACGAAAAGGTTAATATAAGTCAGAATTTTAGAAGGCTTAATAACGATTTAATAAATGTCAGTTCACCTAGACAATTAGGGAAATATAGACAGCTATAGCCATGAATTTTCCAGAACTACCAAAAAAATGAATTAACGCTTTTTAAACAACCTGAAGGGAAGATTGAAACAAGCCCACTAGCTCTTATCGAAACTGAAAAGGAAACAATTAATTTGGATCGATGAGCAGCGAGACCGTGTAAGCCAACTCTAGAGGTCTTTGAGTATAATAAATAATCCAGTTTTAACAGTTAAGTTGATCAAGGTATTAGCTGAAGTCTGGAAACTGGACATATGACCATTTGACTAGCCTCGATCTCTGCTCGTCCTACTCTACAAAAGTATAGAAATCCTCTCATGACAACCACTAAGGAATCAGTCTAACAAATGTAGTGTCTAAAATAATGACCTCCACAGTTGTTCGACATCTGGTGAAGCTCATAAACGGCAAACCCGAGAAAAAGAAGTCAATCCAGAACTGGTAGTGAAAATATAGACCAAATCCTAACAATTCGCCAGGTTTTAGGGTATAGACCAACCTCGTTGTCCTGAACTAGTAATGCAACTTGTGTCATGATCTACGTGGATTATGACTGACTGAGTCGAAGATGCAAGCATATCAAAAAGTGCCTCAAATGTTTACTGGCCCAAGCTGTCACACCATGAAAAGAAAAAAGTCCAAAACGAAATTTATGATGATATTGAAATACTGTCTTCAGGACTTGAAAAAATAAATATGCCACTGACAAAGAACTGAAGTCGTACTACTCAAAATATTCAACTAATGACCACACTTAACCCAACACACCCCGGTCAGCAAACTTGCACGACTGAAGTCAATAATTAGTGACTTCGTAAACCAATGCCATGTTTTTGTCTGGTTATTCTTGAATAATATGTAATAAGGTAGAGCGCTGTATCATATAGTAGTGATATAAATTATGGGAGATGTATAAAGCAACTAATAATAAAATCATTTTATTAATCTGCAACAACATTGAATATCATTAGTATTCGTTCAAAACTTACTACTTTGACCTATGTCTACAATATTACTCCAGGAAAGTTGTATATTCTTCACACAGTTCTCGCCACCATATTTCAAAAAGCTATTTGTTGCTGTCATACTGAAACCATTGCAGTCAGATAATCCGGGAAACAGCCATACGGGTGCAGAAGAAGCTACAGCACTGTAAGTAGAGTAGCAAAAAATAAACGGATTATTGTAAATGTAACTTACAATAAAGATACTTTGGTTATGATTGTTAGATAAACAGAAATGAGTCAGTCTCAAGTACTCACACCAACATAATGAAAGCAGAAAACCAACAAGATGAACTCTTAAAAATATCATTAAACAGAGTAAAAATTTACAGAATGACATGCTAATGATTTGAGAAAAGGTCGAAAAGTGTAGACGGATTCACAGCACAAGGATAGATTTTGAGATTCATTACACGAGGCTTTGAAATGATAATTTCCTATATCTGGTGGTCCCTGTCCATGAAAACAACCCAACAGTTATACCATGTCCACCTTTAACTTTTCTAATTTACACTTACTCCAGTTAACATAACATTCTGGAATCTATGATCCATTAGTATGCGTAACAGAATCTAGTAATTTCAATTAATGTATTTTGATGAATTCATTGGCCGACTGACTATCCGTGCTTAAAATGAAGCGTAACCTTTGTTTGACTGTCTCTTTGCCCCCATACAAAAATCTCTAAGAACTATTTCCAAAAGTTAGTTGTGTACTAGCTGTGTGGATTACCTAGCACTAAAAACAACCATGACGAAAAACTTGCAACAGTTCAAGTAAAAAATGTGTATTTCTAAACAATACAAGCTTACGATATTCGTACACATACAGCAATGAAGGTTTAACAAATCCTAAGATAATAAATACCAACTGTCACACTAGAGTCATCCATTTGACCTCATCATGACAAACGGAGTTAGGAAGACTAATTAGGTTGTTATTTGAAACTCGGCAGATTGTATCAATATTACTACAAGTCAATCTGCGTGAAGAAAATGGGGGAGAGGTGATAACATAGTTATTAATGCTTTGACCTACAAAAAAAACATAAACATGCTATGAACAAAGACAGGACGAAACTACACAGTAAAATTATTAGGAATGTCGCCATGAAAACACCTTACATTATTTTCTCAGCGACGTATAAAATTTATTGAGCATTTAATAGCAGTTGAATATTGTTTCACAACGATTTGTGATTTCTGAACATACAGATTTTTTGTGAACCTTGGATAGAAAATAAAGTTTTATTCATCCAAAGAATATGACTATAATTGTACTATCAATAAATCAACTGCTCTTATTGTTCAGTGAATGTAATAGATCAATAAAATCAGCTATGCAATCAACAATTACTAGGTATCATATGATTGTTTTGCAGCAACAGCTTATCATAACTGCACCTATCACTTCAATGGTCAAATCTTAGTTATAAACTTACTTCTTAATCACAACAAGTATCACCGATGAGTCATATTTCTCAATGAATTTAAGCATTGAGAGCAAAAATGAATGTATTGGACTGTAAACAATTCTTTATAATAAGTGAAAAACAATCTATCAAAATACACCTTTAACTACCCGGCAATTTGATTAGGGTACTTTTGTCTGATCCAAGCCGAGAGCATACCGCCATAGGATCCTCCGAAAGCGATTACAGGTGATGAAGCAAAGCACGAATAATTAGCTTTTAGTTGATTAATTAGAAGTACATAATCAGCCAACGCTTGTTCTGCAGTTAGGTAACCAAAGTGCTGACGGTCCTTTGGAATAAAAAAAAACATGGTTCTGATATCAACAAATTCCAAGCAAAGTATTGAGAAATTAGTTAACTCTCGATATATTAAAGGTGTACAGCAAGACATAAGTAAAATCAAGAAGTAAACTGAAGGAATGAAACGTTATAAACAGCTTAGTTTCTAGTAAAAATCGTTTAGCTAGATAGGAACCATTTATATCACAAATCCATACAGAATTTTAATGTTTAAATACCCCATAAAGGCGCAGAAAGCAAAACTTGAGAGTAGATCAAGAAGACTGTTTACTAGTTTTTGTCAGCCTAGGTCAGCATCCAGACGTTGTTAATCAGGAAAGTCTAAGGCGCAGTGGGTAAATATACAGTATTTTAAAAGTAGCTGAAGAGTCTGCAGCTGTGGGTTTTTAAGCCCATAAAACTACTTTGCCGTTAAGATATCATGGTAAGTATTCTGAAAAACTGTCAAGATACCACTGAAAAACTTTTTGCACAATGATCAAATTTTAAAAACACGTAACTAAATGCAACCATAAATAAGAGGGTTCTCTAGGAAAATGGCCATGAACAAAAATTACTATGCGAGATAACAAATGACACACTATTAAAACTCACTTTGAAAGAATTATTCCCGAATGGGAGAGAGGTTCCGTAATATCGATGTTCGGCAAAAACAACAGAAGCATTAAGTTCTTGAGAAAGCTTCCAGATAAACCCCTAAATTGTAAAAATTATAGAAGTTAGACTCATCAAAATTATAGTGCCTAAGCAATTACTGAGTTTTCTGCAAATGTTTCTATGGCACCTTCATTTCCTGTGTAAAAAAATATCGGGCCACCCGGAGTGAACGATTCGTTGTTAATTAGATACTTGATAAAGAACTTGTCATCATTTACGAAAGAAAAGTGGTCAATCTAAATTATTGAGAATTTTATACTGCTTGTGTGAATAAGTACCCTGGTCCAAAAGTATCTTGTTTCATATGTGAACTCCGGATTCTTGATAGTTGACCACGGAAAGTGTCTGGTTACGAAACCGAACGACAAAGGTAATAAACAATTGAGAATCAAAGCCGGTATCATATTTCAACCTTGTGGAGGTTCGCGTCTAGCCAGAATATACTTTGTATACTAGGGTAGCATACAGTAGCGTAAGGAAGACTAGTAAAGAAAAAAAAGAAAAGGTGGATCGACGATCCAGGAAGCGCACACAAAGCACATATATTTAATGATAGTATCAATCTACAACAATCAGAACCAACAACAGACTCAGACTAAGACAATCTCGGAATGGGAATGAGAAACATATGGACTAGCCCGCTAAAACCTTACATATCACAAACCGCGCTAGAACACAATGAGAGGTTAGTCAGCGCATTTCATTCTCTTTCAGTTTTCAATCCTTGTCAGTCATAAACGACAAACACGTTTTAGGATCTGAATCTTAAGTATCATAAGCTATAAGCATATATAGGAAGTTCAGGACCTCATAGTGACATTTAAACACTCTAAAATGACACAAAATCGTTTTGTTAGAGATTTTATTAACTGTTTGTATCATTCGGTCTGTATCCGATCAGTTATAGAGCAGGATTGGTAAATAAAGAGTATACTTCCTGTTATGTTCTTTCCATGGACCTGTAGTGACTCACATTTATCACGAGAACACGACTGGTTTAATAAAAACAATTATTATTATAACCAACTGTACCAGTGTTTGTTTTAATGTGCTTTTGTTTAATTGTGCTAATTACAGCTATTTTGTGCTTCCATTCTTTTACTTACACTTCGATTGTAACTTCGCGCGAATTCGGTTACCTTCTGTAACCAAGGTTGTATCCTGGCACGATCTCGGTATCCTTTCGATGCCACGAGATCGCCATCAAATATACACCTCGACTTGGTCCATTAACTGTCTTCTGATATTTGGCTTCTCGGAGATTTTATGGATCTATTTGGTTACGTCCAACCCTCGCCTTCTGATTTATCTGGCACGTGCTTCTTTGTAGCGGTGTTCATAGTTAATCTCAACTCGACGCCACGCTACAGACCAAAGGATTGAACAATTCGCCTTATTCATAGACTTAAACGACGGGTAGGACTTAGAGTAATTTTTTGTAGCATATTGATCCAATTCTGATTTGATAGCATGACATCAACTCAATGTCACGCGCTGTCTGACTCATCAATGTCTCACCAACACTAAGGTGAATAATATGAGTATGTTTTACTACTAGACACTACATATCCCGGTTGTCAGTTCTATAACTTATTAAATCAAAACTGAGAAGATATTTGCTAGGATTTTTGCGTGACGCCAAACATATAAGTAAATCATTGATGTGTCCCGTAAGAAGTGTCTAGCGAAGTAAAAATGAAATGAGATAATCTGGAAATATATTTAGTTAAACCATGTTCACAAGTTGAATTCTGAGGAATGAGAGAATTTCCACGTTTAATTACAACGGGGTCTCCAGTCGCTCAAAATCGAAAACAACATCTCCCATCAAACAGATGGTTCGTACTCGCAAAACTCAGTTGATTAGTCCCTCATAAACTTAAAGCCATGAAAGTTGTGTTTAATCACTAACTTTCGCTATATGTCATTGATAGGTAATCGTTCCACATGGCTCCGAATAAAAACGAACGTAACTGAACGATATGTAGAGTTATGGTCTACTTCGTTATTGGAACTACTATAATGATAGACCTTATCCTAAAACTGTAGACTTATCATGATATGATTACCTAATCTATAAGATCTTACGTGGAAGTTACATCATCTATTCTGATTCGATTCGTAACAATCCGCAATAAAACGTTTGAAGTTAGTGAAGAACGCATTTAGGTTAAGGATATAATAATATATTTAGTGTGAGTAGAGACTAGTTATACAGAATGACTACGTCTACAAGGCTGAGCCATGCCATCTGACTGAATGCATATTGCCGCGTTCACCACTGTTGGCCTTCGCTCCATATCAAATGCTGAATATCTATTTTCTCAGTTATCTTGTGTTCAGCTTTGAGTATTGCGTGGTTAGGACCAATACCACTACATAGGAACCTCTCAACAAATAGACATTACCTGATGAGCTACTGTACTGCGAGATGAAAATTGCAACCACGATGACACGTGTATTTAAATTTTATATTATATTAGTGATTGAGAGGGACGTGTAGTGGCATTGGACAATAGCCACACAATCCACAAAGCTGTGAACACGAGACTACACAGAAAATAGATATTCAATATTTAACGCGGAGAAATACCTAACGATGGAGAAGGCGCGAATAATGAATTGAATGGACTGGAGTTGATCGAGTGGCATGGCTCGGCCATGCAGGCGTGGTCCCTCTGGATGTTACTTATATCTTCTATTCATATTAAATATATTGTTCTTTCTCTAGCCTAACCTTGTTCTACATCATGTATTGGTAATTGATACGATACAGTGAGTTGGTGTAGTCGATGGTGTGACTTCCACGTAAGATCTTATAGATTAGGCAGTTATATCATGACAAATCTACAAATTTAGGATTAGGTCTATTATTAGAGCAGTACTAATATCATAGTAGACCATAATTCTACATTGGTGAGCCCAACTAAAGAAACGCAACCTATTATTATTAATCCTTATTTCCACTTCAACTTTCTCGATCGATTTTATATTTATGTTAACACTGTATTCTAATAGTCCTCTGATTAATGCTCACATGCATTATCGTAATGTTATATTGATTAGTCCTCATGACAAACTAGCTCAATCGATAATAAAAACTGGTCGTCTATATTAACTAATTAGCTTTGATGGTTTGTTAACAAGCTGTAATAGCATTTACATGCTTCAGCGACATAGTCTTGTTTAAACATCAAGCTCTAGCAAATATGACCTGTAAATAGCGTAAATATACATTGACTAACAATGCAATCAAGGACTAAATAGTTATCTGGATCTAATTCTCAGTGTTCCTTCACTTAACACCTCATCCTGTTTTAAACTATGCACTATCCTGTAATATCTTTTCTTCCGACCACTGCCTGCCTAATTTCATATTCTCGAGTTCCATTGCCAAACAACGAGGATGACTACTCCAAAAACATACGGTGAGTTTCAGCTATAAGTTTTCTGCAATCATTTTTAGATGGTTCGTTCAATGACAACCATACAATTATCTGGATTCATTCGATTGTTCTGATCCGAGCGAGTGTCAAAAACCTCAACAGCATCAAGCACCCTGGAATTAATTGCCATACTGCATGTTTTATTCTGGATGCTTTTGGATCATTACTACTCACGAATGGCGTTATATATGTCGTCCACTGAATAATCTAATTTTCAAAAATAATCAAGGCGAGTTCAACTATTTTACTGGATGATTTTTTTGTACTTAACATGTATATGTTTTTCAGTTGCTTTTGCCATATATTTGTAAGTGTCACTAAGCTAAATGCAGTAACTTCTTATGGAAGGTTTATAACGCATCATATTCCTGCCTGAAGTTTCACAAGCAGTCTTAACTTTAAAATTATTTTCTGGTCATGTTCATTATTTTTAAATCGTCATATACGTCAACAACCTGCATGTTAACCTGGCCCATACATACGTTACACTATATCTTCATGTCTTCTAAATTTAGAAATCATCTGGATCGCCTTTAACATTTATCAATAAACCCATCATAGTCGTTGTTGCTAATCGTATTTGGGTTTATGGATTGGTTTATCATATTAGCAGCCTAAAATGCGAACATAGTTTAGATAATAAGATTAAAAATTTAGGTACTATCAACTGCACTAGTAAAATAACTAAATCCCAGGTAGCTGTTGGCTAAACAAACGTTTAAAATCAAAACTCCGTAGCCTACTAGAATTAACACTAAACGAATATTTCTGAATTGAAATTTATAATTAAATTAGGCGTCTCGGATTCTTTAACGTTATAAATTTCTGATGATTTCGAATCACCTAAAGCAACAATACCTATTTTTCCACTGACTAATCCTCAATCAACACTATAACTAGTTAAATTTAATAGTTTCAGGATATCGTCATAAAGCATTGTCATAACTTGACAATCACGTAATATGACTGATAAAATTAATGAAACTATTAACGAAATCGGTCAACAAATTGACTTATAATTACCATTAAATGGTGTTGTTTTCTTGGTATCTTCATCCATCACAGATGATTACAGTATGTTTCTCTATCAGTTGCTCATTCAGTAAATATCTCAAAACCTTGTCAGTCTAATTGATGGTTTAGCGACACAATCATGCATGCAAATAATCAGTATAAGCAGTCGAGCAAATCTCCTGCAAACTGAAAACATCAATGTCGAATTTACCCCAACACTGACTAAGGTTCAAGCCATTATCATAGACATGAGTTGGGAGTGTACTCCCCTGGTTACAACTTATGTTCTCTCTGATAATCACATGAGCATCACTCACTATTAATCATCTTGTAAAAACTTATTTAGCTAAATACATCTTGCAGCACCACATCACCTCGTAATATGACACAGGCCTAACTGATTTTAATAACTTATAACCACTATATCTCAATTAAATCGTATTCCGCCTTATGATAAACTGCATACTTGCAACTAACTTGTATGCCCAATCAGCCGCAAGTATAAATATAAATAAATAGTCTGCCGCAGATCAGAACATTGAGTCTAGAGCATGTCTCTTACGAATACACTCATGTTTAACGATTTGTTCCTAGCTATCTGTCCAAAATTCATATAATTATCACTCATGTATTTAAATTTTATTTTGATAACCATTCATGTGTATTAGTAGTATTACTAAATTCTATCACGGTCAAGTAAAAATGAGGTTGAGAAAATCTCCCCGTAACTAAATAAACCGTATCAAACTAACTGGAACACTAGTTGGAATTCTTCTCCACGGTATACTTTTGTTCCTTCAGTTAGCCTACTAATACAGATGCAATTGGAATTCAACTCATATGGACAACTTACCGGCATAATCGTTATTTGATTTCATAATTTAAACCAAAACTAATACCAATATTAACATTTCTACAATATTCATCACTTTAATATTTCTAAACACAAAATACTTACTACCTATACGTTAAGTTATTAACCAACGGCTATTAACACGCATCGTTTTATTATTATTATTATTGTAACCCCATTTTTTATAGCTCAAATAATCTTCACCCAAATTTTCATTTTAAGCGTGTCAAGCATGAAGGCAGATTTTTTAAAATTATTACATGTATTTCCCGACCAGATGCTGCCGCCTTCTTTTTGATTTATCTTTCAGCTTATCATTACCCGGAGAATTCTACCTATTCTTGGTAACCTCCGGCGCGCGACGATCCCATCCAGTTTGGTGTCGAACCAACATCACGTTGATTCTGGTGGGAGAGTAGTGTAGTGGCATTGGACAATAGCCACACAATCCACAAAGCTGTGAACACGAGACTACACAGAAAATAGATATTCAATATTTAACGCGGAGAAATACCCAACGATGGGGAAGGCGCGAATAGTGAATTGAATGGACGGGAGTTGATCGAGTGGCATGGCTCGGCCATGCAGGCGTGGTCCCTGCTGGATGTTATCTTATATCTCCTATTCATATTAAA